ATCAGAAATTATTTCCTTGAAATCCTGACGTCGTTGTTGTATATAGTATTGAATAAAAAATAATTCTAGATTTGATGACAGCAGTATTAAATGATTCACATAAACATTTTTCAGAAGAAATAAATATTGTTAAATGTTAAGGCTTTCAAGAATAAACACAGTGAACAAAACATGATTAATAGTCTTCATAACATCTAGATATATTAATAGATACAACAGAGGGTTTCTACTTATTTCACAAAAAAACTTTTTTGTTATATTTAGTCTTAATAGATTGAAACAATTTACACGAAAATAAGTTTGTACAAATATAGAAATATGGTTTTTACTGATATCAATGTTCAATGTTATGTATTCAGTTATTGACAAGCATGCCACTAAAAGTGGTCATCCTATATTGGTCTTGGTAAAGCTGGTAGCTGGAACCTGATGCTGTTGATTTGACCCAAACTTTTTCTCCTGTTTTTACTCTCGCTATTGCTCCGAAAGCACTACATGTATATTGATCATTATCATAGTTAATATCAGCTGCAATAACTTTACCTTCTAACACTAGTCCAATGTAAGCATACTTTTCTATAAAAACACATGTATGCACAGAAAACTGGTACAATCCTCCAACGGGCGCTGTAAATATCCCCGTGGAAATGTCGTAACCTGATCCCTCGTTTATCGCACTTTTTGTAAATATGATAATTTCATTTGAGGTATCAAGAACCAAATCTGCCACGTGATGTGCATGGAAAGCTATCGGAGGTCGTTCAAGTTTTCCTGATATTTAAATAAGTTTAGTAATTACGTGTCTTAAAATTGTTTCTTTATGATTTATTTCTTGTTTGTACGAGTATTTCGTAATTTTATATAAACATAAGAATTATAATGCGTATGAATAACCAATGGTTAAATATAAAGAATAGCCAGACTTCCTAAATTTAATTTGGCATTCCATTTATACGGAATTCCATAAACGACAGCCTACTGTTTACTGTCAACTGCCTACTGTCAACTGCTTACTGTCAACTGCCTACTGTCAACTGCTTACCTTCAACTGCTTAATGCTTACAGCGACTGTTTATTGATAAATGCCAACTGTTACACCTGTCAAATACCCGATTAATTGCCTGAAAGTAAATGTTGACTTTTTACGTACTTCTTCCAAAGTGTTTATATGTTACAATGAGGCCGTTTGAAACAGTATTGGTCAAGGAATTACTCTGTATCATTTATGAAATATAGAGAAATAAGAATCCCTAAAGAAAGCCCAACAAGGCAAAATTGAAAATGTTGCAGGCTCGGTTTGATTGAGTCTGTTCATGGACGGTACTGTCAAGTGCAAACTACCGTCCACGCCCTCTAGCACCGACTTAAGAAGACTTTGAAGACTATATATTAAGACTATATATACCATATGAAGACTTTGACTGAAACATTGGAACGCGTTACATTTATACATGTACATGTATAATTCTCGTTTTATTAAGCAGAAAAATAAGTATATATCTTTGCAGGCATCTGGAACTATTCCAAATCATAGACCTGTAAAATTTATTTATATCATAGTTTGAGGACTTTTCTGTTGAAAATGTGTCAGAGTTAAATCGTATACGTATACATGCACAGTGAGTTAACTGGAGTGCAGGTATATGTTACCCGCACTCCAAAGCAAGTTTTATGTCATTAAATCTTGTTCGGTAATTTTGTGCTACCAAATATAACTGCTTGCTTAATTATTTATACATGTATATCCCCGTTCAAGCTTGTAAAAGACAGTCATTTAGATATATTTAACATATAACATGTTTATTATAATATGTGTTCATTAAATGATATTGTCCCTTCCCTATAACTATATAGAGCTTAATGACAGCCTTGTAATGTCATGAACGTCGTTGTTTGTACATTTAAACTATAACGGTCAGTTTTATGTTCGCATTTTGAAAATAATGCTTTGTTTTGTTTAAAAATAATCGAGATAATGGTGCCCAAAACATAGATATATAGATTTTCAGACAAAATTATATATACCAGTCACGGTTCGGATTACCAGTAGTTTATTCACGTACTGTGAGAGTATACACACTTCATAGTCCAGATCATACATGGAACCGTTTAGTTCTATCTAAAAAGAGTTAATACTTGTTCTGGTGATTGTAGACCGTACATTTATACCTTAATTCTACAAAGCCTTAGATTTGACTCAAGAAAATGTTACTTTATTTTTGATGTTAAAAAATTATTCGACAGAAGCATGTTGACTTACATGTCAATTATTCTGTTATAATTGGAAAGTCGATGCATAATAAAATCATTGAAAGATCTTTGAGTTACGTGGGCATTATTATTTAATACAAGGGAATGTTAGTATTTGTTTAACGATATAATGAACTGCGGTATCCTAAATTTGAGTCAATGTAATGCCTTTCGCATGTAATTTCTTAGTTTTTGCAGTATTGCCTGTGTTACATTCTCTCTCTTTTTTATAATTTATGATAAAGGCATTAAAACCACAAAATAGAAAACAGATTAATCAATGTGTTGCTGTACGGTCGTCTTTTTATTTCATTGTTTTAAGAAAAGAGTGTTTAGGTTAACTTGTAAAGCTGTTTTGAAGAAAAATATTTAGTTAACTTGCCAGATATTGGAGCTTCAGATGTATTTCTTATGGAACTAATAATATAACGTAAGCTTCATCTTCCTAATACATACTTTTCGCGATATTATGCATTTAAAGGACAATGTTGAATATTGTTTTTTTCCAACTTAGTCATGTCACAACATTCAACACACAAACTTTGCTTTATGGTTAACATATATATAACCAATTTCAATTTTGTCATAATTTTGTTTTCTGGGGAGCTAAACATAAACAAAATTACAAGAAAATTTTGATATTTTATTTTAAAGAACTTTTTTATTTACAATTAAAACGAAAAACAAAATACACTTATTGATTATAATTCCACATAAAAAGTATGTTTTGGTCGCAATAATGAGATCAGTTAGCTAATATTTTCTTGTATATACATTTATTTAAAAATAAAAATTATGACGCGCCTGTAAAAATCAAAATCTATATAAAATATTTGTAAAGTAGTTACGGGGAAAGATATTAAAATAAAAGCAGAATTATAATTAAAAGTTCTGTTATGAATTATATAATTGTTATGAGATTATATTAATTTAAATATACTCTGCAATATAAAGTGATATGCACGTTGTAAGTAAGGTAATTTAAAAATGCTTCATATTATACCATAGAAGCTCTACACCATCACGATGTCTTAGAATGTTTACCTTAGTTGTCAAACCTCTAGAACCCAGATACAAATAGTAATGACTTTCATTGGATGATTCTGGCAAATACGAAGGCAGATTTGCTCATTGGTTTTACTTGCGGTAATTGCAAAAAGAAATAGAAAAAAATAACCAACCTAAAAGTTCACTTTTAAGTGTGTTTGTTAACAAGATAATTATAAAAATTATATAAAAGATGGATTTAAACAAACACGTCAAAAATATATTGTAACATTATCATAATCATTTTGTCTATCAGAAATTTTTAAGTAAATTTAAATAGTTAAGAATCTATTTTTTCTCAGAGTTTTTCAATAGCACAATTGAATTTAAACAAGAGAATAACGCTGGCTTTTCATAAAAGTAAAATAAGCTGATCCAAACTGTAATTTATCACTTCATGTTTGCACTCTTTATGTCACTGAAATATTAAACGTTTTTGAAACAATTTAAATACAGCCAGGTTTGTCTTTGTTTATGCTTCCAGGGTAGTCCTTTTCCTCTTCCATTGTAATTACAGCTGTATTGGTTCTGTTACTTGTCTGTGAAGTCAATGAAAGTATAGGCTGTTCCTCCATTGAAATGATTCTTTCAGATTTATCATCCTCTATACTAGAATAAAATTGATTCTATAATTAACCTTCAAAGCACATATCTATCAAGAGTGCAATCAACTTAACAAAAATGCATAACATAACATCAAATAAGAAATTACACATTTATAAGCTATTACTAACAGCCAATGAAAACTGAACCAAAGTGATCTGGTAAATGAACTTACACATATTGAGAGAATGTTTAGCCTAAATTTCACCAGTGATTTCACCACTTTATCTAGAAATGTATTACATTGGCAAATGAAAGTTGAATAAACTATGAAATTCTAAATAAAATAAGGTCCAGATCTCCGCCTCTCAACCGAGGAATGGTGGGCTAAGCCCGTCCATGTTGATTATTGAACACAGATTCTTTGTGAATAATTTATTATTAAGTTGATTTACCGTAAAATGAGTCCTATATTTGACAATTTATCAATCACCTGTGCAAGAGACACGTGGAACCATTTCATAACATAATCAAAGCAGTGTGCAATGGTGGGACGTACACAAGTCATTGCAATGAATTCGAAATTACAAATTATTAGGCTTAATTATAAAATAATCCTTTTTAATTTACTTACCATTGTTTTCCGCAAAGTTTACCTCAGCAGATTTTTTCAACAAAATGGCGGGCGCACATGTGTTTACATTCGGAATACTTCTATTTGATCCATACATAGACTTAGACTGTCAATAAGCAATTAGCAGTAGGCAGTGAGCAGCAGGCTGTCCAGTTAACAGTAGGCAGTGAGCAGTAGGCTGTCGTTTATGGAATTCCGTACATTTATGACATAAGCGTTGGGGAAATATCCTATGGATATATTCATATTAGTAAAACATGATATTTTAAAGCTATAATAGAAACATATTACAAAATAAAGATAATAAATTGTATTCAAAATTCGTATAAATACATGTAATTAATAAGTTCAAGGATGATGGTTGGGCCAGTTTATAGTTACAGCAACGGGTTAGTTGAACAAGTTCTTAATATTTCAAACTGGTTTTTGATGTATTATTATAGCAGGTGAATGTTCTTTAAAACAACCAAATGAATATCATATAATCAAATAAGATTTTATGAAAAACAGTTTTGAAAAGTTATCATTACGTGAGAAAAATACCTCGAAGTTGTAAAAGTTCCTCTTCTCTTTTAGCTTCCATGTCACTCGTGAGATTTGTTCTTGTCTCCTCAAATAATTTCTTGAACGATTCTGTAAAAAAATATCAAAGTTAAATTACTAACCGTAACCAATAAGTTCAATAAGTTTTATACAAAATGTGTATGTTATTATGTGTACATATAAACTGTGTACAGAAAATTTGCTAATTTCACGAAACTTGATTCGAAACCTAATTTTATATAGCCGGTAGAGTTACTTCTAAAATAGCACTTTATTGAAGGAAAACATTCTAATATATCTTTCAATTTTACTCGTTCTCCTTCTACGAGTATAATCAAGTTTCAATTGAAAGTTTTCGAATTTCTATTGGCTGACGTGGTGGTCATTTTCTGACGTTATTCAATATAAAATGAATGTCGTAAAAATCTGGGAATATGTTCCCTAATAAGAAAAATAAATGTGATGAGTCAGCGTTTTCCTTCATGGAAATATGTTTGTTTTGGTATATTCATCTTAACATAAATGTTCACTGTTATTCATGTTTTGTATAGATGTGGAGTATTAAAAAAAAACTTAAATAGCGCAAATCTAATCAAGAAATACAGCGGCGTTCCTTGATGCACCAAATAGAAATATAAACACGGCGGAATAAGACAGAAGGGTAACAATTAACATGTCTGTTTTATAAATTGTACACATGTTCATGCTCGTACTAGCATATTGTTGAACACGAGGCTGTTAATTATCCATCAATTTAATGAATATTTACATGTTAACACTTTTGTATAATTGTTATTTTTATACATGATTTTTTTCACTTTCCTTTATTTTTTTTATTGATTTATGCTTATTATAATGTAATTTAACGTTTCTTTTCGAAACGACAAGGGTTAAACAAACTGAAAATATGTTATAAATTTGCGGCAATGAAAGTTATGCCATATCCTACCTTTAATCAACATAGAAATTCTAGGTAAATATGTTAGCAAAGTAACCGTTGTATAACATGTCTTCTTTTTTAAAGGTAATGATTCTATAAATTTTAAATATTCCAGGCATTTATCATATTACAGATTTTCTGATTTCAGTTTTCATAAAGCATTACAAACTTTTAAGTTATATTAATTCAGACTTAAACAACAATCATTAGTAATTATATGCTAAATATATACGTCAGTTTTCGTATTACATCAGTAATATTATAGTATACGTGTATTTATTTTCTTATAATGAAGATCTGGTGTTTATCTTTTACCTTCTCTCCTTTTTATCTCGTCATCTCTCTTTAGCATTTCGTCCGTTATGTTCTCCTTCATGTCTGCAAACATGTCCGTAAAATCTGAAACTGCTCGTTTTATATCGCCTGTTGTACTGATGACATTATCCTCAGTTTTCTTAATTTCATTTACCATTGTTTCTAACTTAATTTCAGTTCTTATCATTTTCTCTAAAAGCTGTTCTTCGTATGCAAATTTAGAACATACAGGCTCTCTAGCCTCAGAAAGATTATAACTATATATTCCAACGACAATAACAAACACAAATGACAGTGAGAACCTCATTTTCATTGCGACAGTTGAAAAATAAAATCTGAGAAAGTCTCTTCATCCGACTCGCTTAGAGAAACTGTTGTATTTATACAAGGAAATCTTCTTTGTTATTTTAGTATGAGGCCCGTAATATATTCTTTAGTATAGTTGTTTCGCAGAAATGCACTGAAATACGGATTTGAAGGATATCCATTAGAAACAGTTTGAGGCAAACAGTTTGAAATTTCCTTACATAAAACGCTACCTCCCAAATGAGAATTAAGTTACAGCACTACTAGTAACAAATCAGCATGTTTCTATGAAATGAAATACATACAATTCATGCCAAAATCTTATAGAATAATCTTTTGTTATAAAAAAAATGATGTTTTGAACTTTAATACCGATTGTTTCATCATACGTGATTTTGAAATAACTATTCTTTGGTATTGTCATAAAAGTCATGGAAAGGTGATATTACTCCAGAAAAAAACAGATGAAAAATGATAGACTCGATTTGATCGAGACTGTTTATGAGAGACACTGATGGGTTCAACCACTTACCACACCCGCCAGCACCTTCTTAAGCTGTTTTCGTTTTTCAATACAATTAAATATTATATTCAATCATCCTTAAGGACCAGACAAAAATAATAACATTCAGATTAATGGTTATATGTAGGACAGTAAGTTACTCATCAAGTTAACGGAAGACTGGTCATTCTAGTATGCCATAAGTACTTACTTGTAAAAGGCTACCAAGCAAACATATTTGAAACATCCGTTATATTTAAACACGTTTTCTTAACACAAATTATTGGTTTAATAATGCCATTGAAAGAGACAGTTAATTGTTCTCTTTAAACTTCGATTGAGGTTGTTGCTATCAATGGACCAAAACTTAAAAATTACTAAATATAATTAATAATGAGGAAACATTTCATTATTGCTGTATCTAGATTTTTTATGTTTTTGCCCATTTTACTTACATTCTGAAAATTCAAAACTTTTGTGGAAACTACTTGTAGCTGTTGACTGAGCTTGTAGTTTTTTAACTTTTAAAATGTGTTACATAAAGTGATTTTAGACTGATTTCCTTGATTTCCAGTGTTTCCTGATAATAATTAATAAAGATACGAACAATAATCACGTAAATTGTAAAAAATCAAGTTGTAACTTGAAAACATTTTAAATCCCTCTTACCGAACCTTATCTTATGAAGAAAAAGTTAGACATATAATTAAAAGAAAAACAAAATAATTCTTATCTTACTTTCGTCATTTATTTATTTATTTTAAGAATTTGGGCGTATAGTTTATAAACTATCTTTATCTGGAACAAGTAGTCATAAATAAATTCGCATTTTATGAAAATCGTGTAGAAAAAATAAATCAACAAGGCGTGTCTTTCCAACACCCTTAAACTTAAGTGATGGCAACATGGGAAGTGCTTCAATTAGATTCATATATTCATCTTACAAAATTAAGAAGTGTTTTTTTTTTCACCGGAATATATGTACTAAAGGAACCAAGAAAATTTCTACTAATACGCGAGTTTCAACTATTCACAAAAAGGTGTTTTGTTAGTTCTATGTGATTATATTTAATTAATGTTACGCTAAAAAATATTAGTGTAATACTTTGAATGAAATTTAAGTAGCACGCCGTGAGAAATAGAACTTTTATTAAAATGACAATATTTAAATCATAAACTGATGGGCAAAAATGGTAAGCACACAATGATCTTACATAATCACAATCATAATTATGCTATGAAACATAATTTTACTGAAATTTGTCAATTTTCAATACATATGAATGGCAGCATAAATCATGTTTAATTGTAAATCAGTTTGCTTAGTGGCATGACTGCATATTTATATTTAACATAAAGATATTCAAACCAGCTATTTAATCCTAAACAAAGTATACGTCAAGTACAATTAAATGATTTTTTTCCATGGTAACCTTTCTGCGATAATTTATTATTTGGTATATTCTTTATATTTAGTCTTCTAAAAAATACATATACTTTAAATGTATCTGTATAACTTTTCGATTTATATCTTTGTAACTCTGGTATTGTGTATGTTTAGAAAAACACATCTTTAGAGGCTTTACATCGGTATCATTTATTATGACGAGGAAATATTGAAATAATATGATACACAAATACTTATATTGCAGTCTGAAACAATATGAATGTAAATTATTTCTGAACAGTTCATTGTTAGTAGCGTTTTCGCCGTAATTGTATTTGAAAAAAAGTATATGGCAAATTTATTGTAATGAGCTTAAACGTCAGCCTAGAATAGCACACATTTGATATTTATCTGCTAGTTAAGAATATTATAATAATAAATGTGAGTAAAATGCAGTGAACAGTTTTTATGTTTTATTTTATTCTTTAGCATTTGTAGATAAAACACACAAATAAGTAAAAGTTTATAAAACATAAAAATCATTGCAAAAGACAACGTGAAAGAAAGAATTCCAAATAAAATTATTGAAAAACTGTCAATCATTACAGCCATGTCCTCGTATGCGTAAGGATATTGGTCTTTATTGTTTTAATTTTTCCTTTCTGATGTTGTCTTCTTAGTTATGTTCTCATTTGTTACTTCTTAACCAAAACTTTTCTTTAGTTTGGAAAATGATTCAGTTTTGCTTCATTTTACCTTTCAGTTATCTTTTTTATATTTGTTTCATATGCTTTTTGATAAGAAAACTTATGCAACTTATCTTTAAAAAAAATCGAATAAGTAGTTCATTTATATGCTACTCTTGTCTGATTAATTTTCTATGAGTGAATTGTTTCCTACTTAGAACATTTTCGCATAAATCAAAAGTAATCAGTATATCTTTTACTTAGTTAACTAAAACCCCGCCAATTTTAATTCTCTTTATGCAACCAAGAAAGGCTACACATTTTATAAAATATTTCTTCTTTAATATGCCTTCACATCCGATTTTTCCCTCAAATTTCTGTTTCATTTCAAAATAGATTATACACTGTCATAATAAGTTCAAGCTTGCTGATTCAAACATTCATAAAACTGAAAAAAAAGAATAGATGCAAATGTTTCTTCAATTCAAATTATGATGTTTAGAAATAGTGCTCATATAATACATAACAGGATATTTTATAATAGTAATGAACCCATTGACTTTATTAGTAAAGGTTGCTATTCAAGTGTAGCATTTATTACTTGAAGGTTGTTTGTGCATTAGCTTTACAGGCACAAGGAGCCATGTTCACTTCTTAGTTATAAACACTTGTATAAATTCTTCACGTATTCTTATAATAGTGATATAAACTTACAATAGTTGATATTATAATATTATATATTATAAACAATTACAAATTAAATATTATTAAAATTATAATAAACTAAGGTGACGATATATATAAGTGCCATACACTTTTATATTGAATATCTTGGTCCTGCTGGAATGAAATAAAATGTCAACTTTGTCTTCTACTATATCCACATATTTAAGTGTATCATTAATGCTTAGTTAAGTTGAATAGTTATATAGTTTTCTTCTTTTTTTTGATGGATAACACAACAGCACATATTACCGTGGTGAATATGCGTTTGATTTTCTACACATCTGTATCTACATAAATTATTAATTGTCTTACTTAAGCATACAAAACATAATACAGACTCAATCTGTAATAGCTAACATACTAGTTGTATATTTTAAATATCTAGAGGTAACATTTTACACCTAAAATATACTCTTAAGTATAGAAAGTATATTCTTATAAAGTAGACATATCGAACAATTTTATCTTAATCGTCAATCTTTAATTATCTTTTAAAAAACAATTACTTTTCGGCACTTACAACACATATTTATTGCCAAAAGTGGTCAAATATGATGACAAATACTGTAAAATTAGTCATTTGTCGCATATAACATGTTACCGACTTCTTGATTCTTGAGCCTTTTACGGTTTTTAATTTTTTTTTTCAAAAGTCTGATTTTCTTTAAATATTTTGGCTCGTCTGGTGTTATGCAACTTTAATAAAAAAAAAACAGACAAATCATAGTCTGATTATGAGACTCGATCAGATGAAACAATTAACACCAAAATGTTGTACGTTTCACATCAGGTATTAACACTGAAATGATTTTATTAAGATTAATGTTTATTTGTTGATTTTAATTCAGTTATTCACTAGCAGTCCACTAAATGTGTTGAACCTGTGTGTGTTTTGATACAGCTGGCAGTTAGAACCTGACACTGTGGATTTAACCCAAACTTTTGCTCCTGATTTTACTCTTACTATTGCACCAAACGTATTACAACCATAATTAGTATCGCCAAATTTAGCATCTACTGCAATAACGTTACCTTCCATCACTAGGCCAAGATAGGGAAATTTGTCACGATAAACACATGTATGAACAGAAAACTGGTACAGTCCTCCAGTGAACAAGCCCGTGGAAGTGTCGTAGCCTGTTCACTCGTTAGTGAATGACTTCTCGAATATGAGAATCTCATCTGTAATATCAAGTATATCGTCTTTCAGGTGATGTGCATAAAAAGCGATAGGAGGTTATTCGAGTTTTCCTGAGTGTAGAAATAATACTTTGTATTTATATCTCAAATATCTAAATCAAGGGGCATATGCTAGTTATAAAACTTATATTTATATCAGGCCAATATATGTAGAGTTTAAATAATTACAAACTTGAATGTGTGAATGTCAACAAAATCATCTGGACGTCGTATGAGAGTGAGAAATTTACGTATGGAGCAACATATCTTAATATCAACATACAATGTAGTTTGTTATAAATATCATTGGCCACGTATTATACCAAGATAAAACATGTCAAGTAAACAACATTTTAATTTGCTATGATTAGTTGTAGATAAATAGAAATCAAACACAATTGATGTATAAACAGGTGACAATACCTTGGAGTTGAAAAAGTTGCTCTTTTTCAGCCTCGATGTCACTTGTCAGGTTTTTTCTTGTTTCCTCAAATGATGTTTTGAGCGATTCTGTAATAAAGTATGAACATTCTAATAACTAATATCTA